TTTTTTTTGGGGGGTTTTGACCCGTCTTTTTTGTAAAAAAAAATGTCCTTGATCGGTTAGTCCGGTTTTGGTTCGAACCGCTCTCAGCCTCATGACCGGTTAACCGTTCTGGTTAGATTTTGTGGCTTGCATCACCATTCTATCTTATTGCTAAGCTTATGGTGTCCTTTTGTAATTTTTTAAGTGGATTCTAGTTCTATCATGATCTGCTGTGGTTGTATTTATCAGGAAATTCCATTGTTCTTTGTTTATTGCTTTTTTTTTCGAAATTGCTAATTGTTTGTTCTTTGTTTATTTTTCTTTTCATGCTGCTTTTATATTTGGGTTTTTAGACCTAGATGTGCCTGCCTTGTTTATGGACTTGAGGCTCTTTAAGGTTTTAATTGGTCCATTAAGATTGCATCTCCTTCTCCAAATTCATAACTTAGGCCAAGGTTTTGGTCAATCCGTTGGCAGTGGATAGAATACATCAAACTAAAACTAAAACCTTAATATTTAGCAGAGATTAAACAAACAGTAACTTGATAATCCAAAATGCGCAGATATGCGCTTAATGTACTTGATAATCTAAAATGTGTAGATTTGAAGTTAACGTACTGATCTAGGTTTTTGAGTGGTTCGTGGACATTCCAGTCGTTAGATTGGTATTAACCAACTTGCGTTTGTTTTTTTACGCACTAATATACAGAGACCAGTACTCTTACTCCAGCGCTACCATACCACACATTCTTCAAGTCAAGGAAGACAATCAGAGGAAGTTTTGAGTACACAACAACCCATGGAAGACGTACTAGTTAGAAAGGGACGGCTGATCCCGAAACCTAGATCAATCTGGCCCAAAGTCAATGTGCTAGGAATCGATTTTGTTCACCTTTACACCGTTTTACTCTTTTGGTTAGAAAGTTTTCTAACTAGCCATGAACCACTCAGAAAGTTTTGCGATAGAATAACATATGAGATTACAACTGTTATCATTGATGGCATACGATCATTATTGAACCAGAGTTTATTAGAGCTTTGGAACAGTCTGCGATCCATCGCAGAAACAAATGATCACGATACAAGGAACAACATTTTTGCACGGAAGGCACCAACCTTCAAGGAATTTGAGATGCCTCGTTTCTATGCGAACTTGCTTTTTGGGATTGGACCGCTTCATATTGAAGACAGCCTCATGGATACCATAATTATTTATGCACCGGCCCAAGAGAGAGGAGATAACTACAGACGCACTAAACTCCCGTAATCCGTTCAAGAGAACTCCACTGCTTGATGAAAGTGATGAAAGAGATGAACCTCCCACTCGAGACAATCACCAGTCGAGGTTTAGTTGGATCTTTCTTCACCACATGTAAATAGAGAATTGTTGTAGTAGGAGTTTATGAAGTGATTGGATGCTTCAACGCTCGTTACTACATCAGAGTCGATACTATAACCGCTATGCTCTTTGGAACCTTTGGTAGCACCAAACACCCTTTTGAGGATCCATTTTTAACGATTGGATTCGTATCAGATGAGACTGTGATCGACGCATTCTTGAGGATACCATCACCATTCGAAGGAATATTACCGACTGCAGATGCCCGTCATGTTTGGGGTGATTTTGCTATCAATCCATTTGGCCTTGCCCTGGCCAGCGACACACCAGTGGAAGGAAGAGGGAAAGGGATTTACGTGCTAGGAAGAGGCACGGACAAGTTTGCGCTCACTTGCCCATGGCCTAATGCGCCCGGAGAGAGCAACAATGATCAGAGAGGTTTCTCACAATGCCAGTAGGCATTGAGAAATCAATTGACAACCAAAAGAGGCCAAGCTTTGGATCTTCACCTAGTGCTAAAGTCGAGCATCCTGTCAATGCTTAACTTAATGTTTTGTTATATTCAAGTTTAAACAACTCATTAGAGCAAGACAATTAACTATGTCTGTATTAAGTGCATATTTGTGCATTTTGGATTATTAAGTTACTGTTTGTCTAATATCCGCTAAATATTAAGGTTTTAATTTTAGTTTGATGCATTCTATCTACTGTCAACCAAAACCTTGGCTTGGGTTAAATCGACAATTCTGACTTAAAACCTTAATGGTGGGCCAATCATGTGAAAGGTGTTTGTCATATTCAAGGTTTGATTCTTGGTGTCCTTCTAAAGTATAGAATGATCTTGCCAACTATCGATCTCTTGCGTATCTCCTGACGGTGCATGGTACTTGACAATCTCGTACGTTGGCACATCACTGATGATTTCATATTCCCGTCTTGGGATTCTCTCATGCCCTTGATCGATGATGATTAGTCCTCTGTCCATTTGTCTACTATCAGTACTTCGGTGAAGTATGAGTGAACCTGCAGGAATTAAGTGGATCTATCCGGCACACCGGTAGGGATTAAGTGGATCCATTAGGATGTTGGTGGGTATATAGGTGACTTACTTGAGACGCCAGTAGAGTACTTTGTGAAATCTTTTGAATTATGCAAGGATTTACTTATGCATTTCTTCATAGTGTTTCAATATGCCTTCAATTTTTTTGGATTATGTTAAATTTTTTGTTCCTGAATCTGAAACTGTTCTTCATGTATGCTTTTCCTTATTGTTTCAACATGCATTCTTTTAGAAAATATTACATTTTTCAATCATGATTTTTTTTAGAAGTTATGATGGTCACTTATTGAGTAGCCAAGTTTTATAACAACCCAAGTTTTATACTCAGTATATATGCAAATGAATACGTAAATCCTTGCACAATTCAAAAGATTTCACAAAGTACCCTACTGACGTCCCAAGTAGGTCATCTATATACCCCACGCGTCCTGATAGGTCCACTTAATCCCTACCTGCATCTTGGATAGGTCCACTTAATTCTTGCGGATCCATTCATACTTCATCGGTGTACTAGATGAGTCCACTTAATCTCTACCGACGTATCAGATAGGTCCATTTATACCTCACCAGTGAATCAGATGAGTCCACTTAATTCCTACCGACGTACCGTATAGGTCCACTTATACCTCACCGGTTAACCAGATGAGTCCACTTAATCCCTACCAGCCTCTCGGATAGGTCCACTTGTGTACTTAAAGTATCTCTGAGACTCTTTAAACATTAGAAAGCAACAATATCGTATATTTAAAATTGCCTTGAAATCATTAGCATGAATTCACATAAAGCAATTTATCAATCACTTTTGTTGATTTTTGGAGAATTTCTTCATGTGAAGTCATGCTAATGATTTCAACGATATTTTGAATATACAATATTGTTGCTTTCTGTTGTTTAAAGAGTTTCAGAGATACTTTAAGTATTCAAGTGGACTTATCCGGGAAGCCGGTAGGGATTAAGTGGACTCATTCGGTTCGCCGGTGAGGTATAAGTGGACCTATCCGGTACACCGGTAGGGATTAAGTGGATTCATTCGGTACGTTGGTGAGGTATGAGTGCTTGGTTGGTTATTTGTAAAAGTGATTAATATAAGAATTCATTCTAATGATTTCAAGGATATTTTGAATATATGATATTGTTGTTTAAAGAGCTTCATAGATAAAATAACTATACAAGTGGATTTATCCGGGATGCCAGTATGAATTAAGTGGACCCATCAGGACGATGGTGGGGTATATAGGTGATCTGCTTGAGACGTTAGTAGGGTACTTTGTGAAATCTTTTGAATTGTGCAAGGGTTTACATATGCATTTCTTCATAGTGTTTCAATATGCATTCAATTTTTTTGGAATATGTAAATTATGTGTTCTTGAATCTGAAATTGTTCTTCATGTATGCTTTTCTTCACATTGTTTCAACATGCATTCTTTTAAAAAATATTATATTTTCCAATCATGATTTTTTTAGGGCTTATGATGGTCACTTATCGAGGAGCCAAACTCATCAAATTATGGCAATGGATGAAACGTTGCGTTTTTTGAGATAGTCGATAAAATGATATTGGCAACAAAACATATTTTAATTTTAATCTTGTATTTGCCAAAGTTATAGATAATTAAAAATGTAATGCATTATTTCATTGTTGACGGTGTTGATTTTGTACACATTATCTGATATTATTGGGCTTTTTGAGATGTATTGAGTGACTTTTTCCCTTTGAGGTCATACATTAGTTAGTGAGAATTTGAGAAACATCTTTTTCATTACGTAGTAACAATTTGAGAAGCTTCTTTTTAGTTCTTAGCTATCCGATTATGATCTTCACTTGCAATTTATTGCAGGTATCGACTGTTTGTCAAATGGTACGTGCATCTCAATCCATGCGATGCTTCTTAAAAGGATCTCTTGATAGTCCAATTGTAGAATTCTGTAGTCAGCCTGGCAATAGTGATGACTGTGGAGATGGACGCGGTGTACCTGTTTTCTCTTATTTGTCAGTCACCTATTTTGGTAGATATTTTTGTATATGTTCTGTTTTATCATACTCCAGTAAATGCTTTTGAATGTTGCAAGTTGTTTGTCTTCAAGTGAACACAAGTAGGAATGTGACCTTGGCCTGGGTTGTCAGGGTGGCAGAGCCATAATGTGATGTTGAGGGTTCCATTGTTTCCTTGTTAACATTTTCCCAAAAAAAGTAGATAGACAAGATCATGACTCATTTTAGTTATTTCCTCATTGATTTTCATTGTTTGTGTATGTGAAACTAACCCTAGTAGCCACAAACTATTATGTTTAACTTCCAAATCCTTCTATATCTCCATTTTGCTTGAATTAAAGGTAGTTAATGTAGTGTGTTCTTCTTTGCAACCAAGCCCCAAATGCATGGTGCTTCTGACCTTCCACTGAAAAATTATGGAAATAGCAAACATTGACCCTACCAAGAGTGGATCTGCTGGTTGGTGGCTTCTCTCCCCGTGCTGCAGATTATGCAAATATTGAAATGGGTGATCTTGGGATGATCTATTACCATACTGATTGGGTTTAAATGTTCTAATAGCACCTATGCTAGATTGACATGTGTCAGGCATGTCTGGATGGGTCTAACATGACATGTCTGGCACACTGGGCTGTCCACTTGGTGTGGCTCAACTGTGCCCGCAATGGGTCTTGAACAAATTGTAATTATGTCAGGTACTTTTCCCGTTAGAGTTAGCCATTGACACTTGTCCAAAACTGGATGCAGGTATCAAATACGAGGACACGTAAGACATGCATGTCCAGAAGTCTAGACACGGGCTTTGACAGTATTAAACACACATGCTTATGATTCAGATGGGAATAACTTGTATATAGAAACAAGTTTTGTAGGGCTTATACGGATGAGTTGTGTCGACCACACTGCTTTATAAGAAGCCATGTCGGATACACATCGTCCATGTTTGGTGCGGGTACATGTTGCCCGTACCCTTGCAACACAGGATTTGCACAGTTCTTTTTCTTTGTCCACTCTGTGCAGTCCAACACGTTTTGTCTTTTGCACAAGGCCACAAGGGTGAGTAGGACCAATCCGCCACGCTGCTATTAAAGTACTTCGATATTGTTGCTTTTCCATTGTTGCTTAGGGTTTTGTGGGGTTGTCATTGTTTTTGTGTATTTGAGATGCATCTTTCTCCCTTGTACAAAACATACTCCTTCCATCTTGGATGTACATTGTGTAAAGCCAATTTCCTGATCATGTTTCATAAGTACATGTGTGGATGTTGTGTGCTGGTAAACCAGCCCGTGGTACCTGTGATCTTGCAGTCTTTTAAATTTTTGTTTTTTTGTCTAGGGTAGATCAGTGGGGAATACAAGCCCCTACCCGTTTTGGAAATAGTTAAGTGGTTTTCGAATGTGTCAGTGAGAATGGAAACCTAGACCGGTAGCTGAGGCTCAGGTGGTGCTACCATCACGACCTCAACCCCATTTCCTCCTACAGTCTTTTAATGATTACGTAGAACATGCTATTCTGTCTTTCAAACATTTTGTCATGCCAGAACTCAATAGTGAACTTGCTTTTGTGATTACTGTTTTCTGGTATGCTGAAATTTATTTTACATCAATTTAAATTTCTTGCAGAATATGTATATCTTAGTTTTGAGATGTGGCACAGAACATTTTCTGTGGATATTTCATTTTTTTTTGCTTTGCGCTAATGAATGACCTGGTCCAATTCAGAGAGCTTGGCGCAAGAACTCACTCAGATGTTTGTATTGGAGCTAAATTTGAAGGTAAATACAGGAGATATCTTTCATATTACAAAAAAATATGGAATATCTTTCTTTCTTTTGTCGCTCCTGTATTCCATATGTTCTTGAAGCTTGTACCCTTTCTGATGTTTCTTTTATTCGATATAGCCATATAGTAGCACTGGAATTTTTCCTGCTTTGCCTGTTAAAAACAGCATACAAGTGAGTGTAGCGGTTCATGGGATTGCATCTATTTCTCCAGTTTTGATTGTATCTACCTATCCATTCTATATGCATGTCTGTGATTGTTCTCTAATATTTTTCAACAAATGCAGAGGTTGCTAGTGGCTGCTCTTTGTTGCATCACTTGTGATGATGGTATCAATACACAAGCCAATGTACTGAACTGGTCCAATGAGCTGTTTCCTGGTGAATTTGAGAACATGGGAAGCATTGGCTTGTTGAATGAGGAATCCTGCTTGCCAATCCCTCCATGCATTCAGGGGCGGGAAAATGGTGATACTAACATGGAAAGACTAAGCCAACATCCAGAAAGAGAGGTCATGCAGGTAACAGTGATTTCCCTTATTTATAATAACATGACCCAGTCTTGTTCATGAAAAAGGTAGTGTTATTTCTTTTTTTAGTTTGTAAATAATTAACTCAACCTTATTTCATGAGTTGATTTTTATTGGTCTGACATTTTCATTTTCAAATGATCAATCCCTTGATAAAATGGTTGGATGTAGTTGGTTATTCTCAAATGAATTGTTTGGCTTCTATAATAGAGTCAGAGAAACTTTCTTAGGTCCCACAGTATGGCATCTTAGCAGAAGAAGGTTCTGAAGTTATATTTTGAAGAAGGATTCTTGTAACATAAGTAGGACATGTAGAAACTTCAAGAAAAAAAAATATACGCAAATTCAAGTGTTTATAATTGGACAGACGCAATGCCATCTTTTCACTAATACATTTGCCGTAGCATAAACAGAAACAGTTTGCATGTAATGTATTGAAACATCATGGTGTTCTTTGTCCTTTTTGTTTGTTTTTTTTGTCCTTTTGATGCCAAAGTTTCCCGTGTATTGCAGGTATACTTGACTGTGTGGCTTGCTGAAGTGAATATCAATACTCGAAGGTGAGCTATTTTTTTGAATTTTTTTTAGTAGTAATAGTTGTTTATTGAAGAATTGTGTTGTTTCAGAGTGGATGAGATCATAGCTATGGTTGAGGAAGAGATGCAGCTTAAACTCGGTTCATCCTAGGCATCTGTGGTGTATGTTTATTATGAGGGTTCAAATCGGAGGCCTTTATTGATATTCAGGGAATGATTACATGTAATTTAAATACTGAGTCTTGTTGTAATTTTAGTTTCTAGGCAAAAAAAGAAAATACACAATAATTCATAATATTGGTCCTAGTTGGGGCTAAAATAACTGCAAGATTGTATATGAAATACAAAACCAGAAAACTACATGATCATTCCCCTCTGTATTTATAAGAAAATGGGCAATTCATACTTTTATAGGGAAATGGTGAAGATTTGGGGACATCTATTTATTTAAGCTCTTATTTGACTAATTTCCTGTGTATAATGAACTCATCTTGCCAAGGTGTATCTTGCACATGCCAGAATGTGCGTCTTTTAATTTGTTATTTTCTTGATAATATGTAACCTTTCATTTTAATAGACATTTTGTGTTGGTTTTTTGTAATTTTAAACCCTATTGTAAGGAACTTAACTATTTCTAGTTTGCCAGCGCTACTGAGAGTACTATTCAGCTATGCGATTGAGAAATGTCATAAATAAGTCGGGGTGCAAATGTGTTGGGCCCAGGTTGGGTCGACTGAGATCTGACCCATCCAGGTCTGGGCTTGATTTGGACTTTGGACCCAGACTCCAGGATGGAATTGGTTTTGTACCCATTTGGGTCTGGGTCTGGGTCTGTATCAAACTTGACTTGCCATGTTGACTTACAGGGTTTAGACCTAGACCCTGGTAGGGTACCACGGCCCCACGGGGTTCCCTGAACATAATCAGGATCTGGCCTGTTTTGAAGTTCTAGATATAAGCCCCTAACCCTAAAATTGTAACTTTGCCTCTATACTGGCATTAGTAGACGAGCAGTTAGTGATATAAGACATGCTTTAATGTGGATTGTCTTCAATACTGGATTGTTATTCACATTGCTATGGAAAACCTTAATTATAAGGTTTTCTTAATGAGAAAAATTGAGCTCCACCTCATGTCCTTGGGGCTGCACCTTAAGCTACAGCTTTGCCTGTTGGATTACTTTGAAAATTTGTTGTGATATTTGGACTCAAAAAGAAGGATGTTTCACTTTTAAAAATAGTGTATTTGTACATATTGTCTAAACTATTTATTTTGATTGCATGTACTATTTTAGAATTTTTTGCTAGTTTTGGATCTCGTTTTATGAGTAAAAAGATATTTAGGCATATAATAGAAGGTTTTTGGCCCAAAATTAATTATTTTGGTGGGGCTGTATTGTAGCTTGAGGCCTAATGATAGTTGCACCCTCTACCTAAAATTTCAAAACTTTAGTATTATGTTCATTGTTTTTATTTGTTTATTAATTTTGTTTTAGCTAAACTTGCCAAAATTCCATTGCATTCGGTATCTTGTATTTGCGGAATGATGAAATTCTACTTTTTTTTTTAGATCATGGTAGAGTTCAACAACATGATGTCATGAGTTTCATTCGTAACAAGACTCTTTTTTCACTTTACCTAAAAAAATAAAAAAGATCTTTTTTACTTATCAAAAAAGAAAGCACAATTCATCTCAACATTTTGGCTTTATAATTCAACATATGTACACGAGCACATGTTTTTGTGTGTTTGCGAGAGGGATTCATCTCCAATAATTTTCATTTCAACAGTAAATAAGCACATGCGCCGATGTGTTTTTTTTATGATGGAAATAGAGAGAGAATCCAGCATTCACATGCTTGAGTCGACGACTCCTTGATGAGGTGGGCATCAATAAGCAATGAATATGTATTCTCATTTGGTCTCAACCCCTGAAGTGTATGAAATCAAGGTGCATATCTGTCTCTTTTGTACAAGTTCTAAATCAGTATATACTAAGAGACTGGTATCTACGCTTAACACTAATGAGACTTGCTGAAGTGTTTAGGCGGCACAGCATAGTCTAGTTGATTATGGTCAGACTATGTTATCTGGATTCTTTTGTTCAAGTGTCTTATGAGAGTGTGTTCTTTTCCAATTGTTGCGGTTATGACCTCACATGGCAATAGAATTTTGTTTCATTCACATTTTGATATGGAAGAATTTTATATAAATGCGAGGCTCTAAACAATCAAATTAAGGCGTACTTAAAAATTTTCACTAGAAGAGGTTGTTTCGATGACTAAAAATCTTCAATTTGATCATATCGACATCAAGATGTATGGACATAACAAAAAATGGATTTCAAGTTTTTGAAATAGTTCATTTTGTATGGCATTTTTGAACCGTCAATTTTCAAGATTTTCAAATGTTTATAGATCTGCGTAATTTACACTATTTTCTAAGCTTTAACTTTATAATTAGAGATGAAAATAGATTTTCAAGCCATCACAAAGATTTTCGCTACTGAAAAAACATCTTTTAATACTATTTGAAGGTGTGCTTTACTTTAATTGTTTAGAGCCTCGGCCTTAAACAATCCACAACCTTTCGATATTCTTGATTGGTAAATAAAATCTATGGGAAATTAGTACTCATATATTGATATGAAAGGTTGATTTACATTTGCAACAGTAAGTGCAACAAAAATTGGACCAGTGCTTTAACGTTTAGTGTTTAGGGTTTAGGGTTTAGAGTCTACCAAGTAAGAGAAGCTTTAAAAAAAAAATTGTCAAAAAGAACCAAAGGAAAAAAAGGGAAGCTTTGCCTTTCCATAGAGGTCCTGATTCGTTTCTGTTCTGCTTTTGAGAGGCATTTAATCTTCCTATCTATGTTGAATTGCTTTATGTTTAAATAGCTAATTCTTGGCATCCCTTAAGAGACAAAATAAAAAATAAAATAAAATAAAATTCACACCCATATACTTAGATATATGAAATTATGAACACATCCAAGTAGGGTTGAAAATTTACCCCATACGACCTGAAACTCAAATTTCATACTTGATCCGGATCTGGGCATACGTTCAGATCTGACAGGTTGGATCCAGATCCAAATCTTGGATCCAATTAGTAATTCAGATCACATCTAGGTATAGGGCATCCAATCCAAATGTAACCCAATTATTAAACTATTATATATATATATGCATAAATACATATTGTATATTATATTTTAAATATATATTGTATAATGTTTTTTTTATTATATCTTATTTTGTCGATACAAAATAATTTTTTCCAATCGGATCCAGATATTGATGGGGATCTCATGTATACTTTTGAATCCAGATCAGGATCCAATTGGGTCGGGATCTGATTTTGTATCCCATGAATATTTTTCAGAATCAAATCCAGATCACAGTGGATCTCGACCTCATCCGACCCATTCTTAACCCTACATCTGAGAACCTTTCGAAACCAAGCGCCACGGGGTTTGAGAATGCATTTCATGTACATAGCAGCCTTGAGAATTCTTCCTGGTGCTTACTGACATGGATGACTGATATGAAGGCAAGAATTCATGTACCCATTTAAGTTGCCATTCATCGTTCTTTTTATTTTCCGCCCTTCTTCCTTGTTGGAGTCGAGTCATTGAGCATTCTCTCTACTGTTTTACACAACCTCTCTCTCTCTCTCTCTCTCTCTAGTGTTCTAACCACTAGTTTTTGGTTCCTGTTTACTGCTCTCCCCTTCTTCCTCTCTCTACTATCCTCTTTCTCGCTCTATTGTTTTCACAAGTAAGTTTTTTCTCCCTCTCTCTCTCTCTCTCTGCTGTTTTCTCACTCTTCTATCATTCGATGTACCTCTTTCTCTATCAGTTAGGGCCAAGTCGCCCAGGAGGGTGGGTGCCCGAGTCATGACCCGAATTTTGGGTGTTTAAACACTGCTTATGATACTAACAAGCTACTACTGGTAAGGCAGAAGCCATGCCCCACCATGACAAGGTCCACTTGAATTCCTCCCACTCAGCTCCAAGGGCAGGTCACCAGCAAGCCATTATTCAAGCAAATAGAACAGGGCAGATCACACTGATCAGCAATCCAACGGTGGGCAAGGTGGCATCAACACCATGTTCTGATGGTTGACACCTCACATGAATTGTACAAATAAAGAGATTGATCTCTTATAAACTTCATGGCACTATCAAAAAATTGATCAGAAAATGATCATGTATGATCATCACAGCCAAAGCACTACCTAATGTCCAGATTAACACTAGTCACCATGAACAAACTGGTGAATAGACCCAACCCACAAAAGGTCAAAGAAAAGATATCATTAACTCCGTACAATCTGTTTGGTCAGCAAAGGAAAAGGAAAATATCTTAACAAAAATTTACATGCAAATCATTCTTCCAATAAGAAACACTCAGTATTAGTGTATATTCGAGCCTGCAATCCCGAGAGACTCCCACGCATTTTATTAGGCCTTCCATCACCCCTAGATTTGCTACATTGGAGGAGGAAGAAAAAAGGAAAAAGAATAGAAGAAATAAACAAGAGGAGATAGAAAATGAGGGGGCCAAAAGGGTACTCTGCTCTTAACTTAAGAAAAAACCGGAGTTAAATGCAAAACAAGATTTGATAAATATGATTCATTTGTATCTTCTAGCTGATCTCCTCTTACAGTGTCAGTTTTTCTTGAAATTTTCTCAGTACCTTTAGGGCAATTCAGTGCTATAGTTGAGCCCAAATAGCATATCTCGACGGGCCTCACCACCCATTCTGTATTTGAGCTTGCTTGCCAGTATCCGGACCTGCTCATTGCTTTCGTCATCAAACTCACGGACAGATCGCCTCCTAACCTTTTTGAGACTTTCTTTTGATGGGGCAAACCCAGCATTCATCTGCTCAGTCAATTCCAATTTTGTTGAGTAAATATGCATGTGTACATTGAGAGAGAGTGAGAGAACACAATTCTTCTCAACTTTATGACTCGACATGTGACAACATGCTCGTGTGTGTGTGTTAGAGAGAGGCATTCATCTGCTATGACAATTTCCATTCAGAAGTCAATATGCTTATAGAAAGAGAGAACCCAGCATTGATATGGAGATTCCATTTCATTAGTAAAACAGACGTGTGATTGTGTGTGTGTGTGCACGTGAGAGAGAGAGAGAGAGAGAGAGAGAGAGAGAGAGACACCATCTCATCAATGATTGAGAGCGCAGATTTCTGGTCCTTGTTGATGAGGTGGGCATCAATAAGCAATGAATATGTTGTCTCATTTGGTCTCACACCTAAGCTTGTCAAATGCTCGAACACCCTCGAAGCTTCAAATGTCTGCTCAAAACAAAAACAATTAGATATTTTTGAAGGCATCAATTGGTGACTCCGACACAAGATATCTAACAAAATTAATAGGGAGAATAGGCAACCTTTTTCATCTTCCCAAATGCAAACAACAATGCATTATACGAATGGATATCTGGGGTCAAACCAAAGGTGTTGCTGATGGCCTCAAATGTCTGATAGGCTCGATCAAGATCCCATATGTTTGCACAACCTAATATTACACAATTCACAGCAGCAACAGACTTGTAAGGCGGATCCGCACGGCTTAAATTCTCCAACTGAAAATACACCTGGATATGTGGTTCCCAAATATAATCTCGCAATAAGTCAAATAAGAATAGTCATAAAAGCAAGCTATGACCTGGTGAAGTAGAGTGATAAGGAGTCCAAAGGAAGTATTGCACATGGTGAATTTGCAAAGAAAAGCCAGCAACTTTCAGTGGAAAATACATGCAATTATCAAACAAAAGATGCTACACACCATGGACCAACATGAACTACAACTCAGTGGACTTATTCCATCAAAAACATCAATAATTTTAGTATCTACAATGAAGCAGTACTACCAGAGATCAAACGGCTCTGGGAACTGCCAATAACTTTCTTCCTATTCCAATCAATGACAAATACAGCTGGCATTTTAGAGAGTCACAGGATTTAACTGTTTTGCCTGTGGTACACTAGAATCAGAAAGGCGTTAAAATTAACAAGAAAAGGGATACGCATTTTGTGCAAAGATATGGCTTAGAATTCTCAATAAAGTGATGCTGTGCCCCAATCATGTGAATCCTAAACACCTCCAACACCTACAAAAATTTAAAGAACCAATATTTTTAATTATAAATACAACCCATAATAATGTAATGTAGAGCTCAAATTGACACTGACCCAAGGAAAATGTACTGCCTGGGAAACTAAGCTGTGATTCATGTAAATGGCTCTGGATGTGATTAATGTGACATTTTTTTTTAGTTTACATGCGTTGAGTTTATCAAACATGGACATGATACCCATTTGAAGTATAAATGCATCATAGAAATCAAACAATCTATAAGCCATCATACATTTACATGCTCAGACCTACATGTGCATGCATGTGTGGGCCAAACAAACATAAACAACTACTATTTGGGAAGTACATATACCATACTGATGAAAAACAGAAGATTTAAGATTTCCCATAGAAGAGAATAGGTTAATCAAACTATTCAAAGAGGATAAATATGGTAGATGCACATACCGAGTCCAATGTCGCAAAACCATTCTTGGAACATGCCACAACCAGAGGATTTAAGGAAGTAAAAGGAGAAAACAACTCTTCATCCACAGCAGTAGGATTGGCATATGCAGTCTCGAATTCGTTCAAAGTAGCAAATGCCCTTTGTAAGGTCCCCAACATTGAATAAGCATATATCTTCCCTAAATAAGACTCAGGATTCGGTGCCCTCTTCTGACGCAACGAACGTCTCAATATTGCCCAAGAAGCATCAAGAAGATTAGAATTGCAAGTCCTCGCAGCTGTTCCCAATGCAGACACAACCAAGCCTTCATCGACAGAAAGAAGGACTGGAGGCCTCACATTTTCACCACGAGCAATCCATCGTGCAAAAAATTCCAAGGAATGAAATGCCAACTTGCCATTATCAGCTTGTAATGCAACATCAGCAAGGTATGTACACAGGTTCCAGGATGGGCACAAAGCCTTGTTTTGATCCATTCTCTGAATTTGTACACAAGTTCAGAGAAACCTATTTAGAACTCTTGAGCAATTCCACATAAAGTACAAAAACCTTTCATTAATCAGTCTCACAAATGAAAAACCATTAAGATAGTGGGAATTCACACTCTAAAAGAGTAGAATTCTTTTTTTTGTAAAAGACCTCTTAAAAATTCTTAAAAACAAAGAAAAAAAATGGAGTCAAGAAAGAGGATAAATCCCTCTATAACTCAACACCTTGCATCTCTCTATGATTGAAGTCAAAGTATCCAATGTCCCAGCCTTTACACAACTCCGAACACAGTCTGTGAAGACTCTCATTGACAGCATATAACCAGACTTCAATGTCAGGTCAAGATACTTAAGGGCATCATCGATCTTGTTCACTAGAAATTGAAGTCCAATGACCAAGTCATATGATTCCTCATCTGGGGAAGCATCCTTTCCTGCCTGGATCATCCTGATGTAATCAATGGAAGTTCATTATGAAATAAAAAAGTATTCTAGCTAATTACACTTGCAATACAAAGTAATCTTCCATGTGCACTGCAAAATAAAACAAAATGCGAAGTATATTATAAACCAGTGGGCTATGGAAGCCATAGCCCGTTGGATCATCTCCAATGATGGATGGCAATGAAGAATAAGAGAGAACCACTGTTGGGGTCACGTCCTGTTGTGACATATCCGACTTCCTCTCCATCACCATCTATCATTCCAACGGACAAGGATGACCAATGGACAACGTTCCATAGTTGATTCAAGTATAGTGAACTTCATAATAACATTTAGAACACTAGCATCTATAACATCGACCAAACAAGGAGAAAGATAAAAAAGCAATACTCACATAATGAGATATGTAGATGATTTAAGCAAGAGTGAATTTTGGACATCTTCAGTTTAAAGAACCATAAACACATAATACATCTGAGGCTCTGAGCTAAGATGCCGATACAAGTACAGACACCAAGAACAGAAAAATAACATCTGAGGCTCTGAGCTAATGTGCCCAGATACAAGTACAGATACCAAGAACAGAAAAATAAGACCCTCCATTTCTTCAAATCCAAAATATGGATCCGGATACGAGTGTATTAACTAAAAACACACACAAACAAAGAGAAAAAAGATTCTGTAAGCCAATGGCCTCATGCTACATCGTAAACCCATTGGCTAAAACACATAGCTAGAGGGATTTCTTTGAGCAGAAACTTCACACAGCATCTTTGACTTGAAAAATAAACCTCAAAGAAAAAAAAAAAACAATTTTTAGTTGCTAAAGGCCTCAATCCACAGTCCAAAAAACAGCCCATATTATAAAAATGGCAGACTCAGTTTCCCCATTTATGTGCAAAATCAACTATTTTGCTCTCTTTTTTGTTTATTTTGACCACCTAGATGATATCTTGATCTTGATCTGCGCGAAATTTTAAGGTCCAACAAAACTTCCTAGTTCAAAGTTAACATTACAGAACGAGCCCAATGTCATCTGTAATCTTTTCCCACACGCATTCAGCTAGACATCAATAAATGTTATACTATAGCTCTTTTAACACAAACATATGCATCTAACACATTCATGCATAGAATCCACCATAGTGGATAATACAATATTTTATCCATAATTTTTTAGCTATCTCATTTTATTCTTATAAGTATCCTAGCAGTATCCAGTATAAGTATCGGAATTCACTGGTATGTTAAGCATCTACAAGTACATGTGTCATGGCATCCAAGACCCCTTTCATTTGATTTTGTTAAGGGTGATTTTAGTCTTTTGCAATCCCTTAAGAGAAGGGCCCTTTAAACCATGCAGTACACATCCCAATCAATCCACACTGCAAAAAGACAGGAGAGTCCCTCATGTCACAACTTACACCACGAAGCTGAATTCCTTAGGAAAATTCCCTAAAATAGTACTATTCGTCGCTTAGAAAACCCTCCTCATGTTGTCGTGTAACTATTACTTATATACCAATATATAGACAATTAGTATTAAAATCAATGTGGTTTTTCTTTTTTTATATTCAAAATTAGAATGGAGGAAGAGGAATACCCATGATTGCAGCTTCTCTCCAATAAAGCCATAAATTACCTCAAAAAGGCAAGAAAATGTTTTTCCACTCTCTTATCACATAACCCAATGATTTGTGAGGGCAAAGAAACCATATCACCTGGCCCCCAAGTAGCAGTTCAGGACATAAATGAACTTTCTATGCAAAAACCATCAATAGACTTCCTCCAACGTAAAACCAGTACTTCAAAATGGTCAAAAACATTCAATATGATACATGATGGAAATTTATAGTTAACATTTGGTCTTCAATAACTATACTATATAACACTACCCCTTGCATCAAGAACTGGTTCCCAACATCCATGGAAATAATCCCTAGTAAAGTTAGTCCATGAATAGGGTTAAAATAATAGCAAAAATGGTACTTTTCTTTCACTAATATTTCAGTAACTAGTCATCAGAAATGTCATCAAAAGCATGAGCCCAATACCCAGGTTCCTCTCTAAAGCTAATTTCCATGTTAAAAATTACCAACTACGCATTTCTATTTTTGAAAGCCATCGATATTTACTCATTCAACAGTAATCATTTGTAACTCAAAGACTAATCTAAGTGGCCTTGTTATATTAGGAATCTAACTTTAAGTGTACCCACTAATGCTCAGAGAGCTTATGAAGCTTTTCGGGTACAACCAATCAAATGCAATCAGATATCATCCAAATAATACAAAAGCCAACAGAAGAAGAGAACCCCAACTAAACAATTTATAGAGAGAGAGCTCCAAAGACGAGGTTTCAGCCTAGCTAATCAATGCCATATGTGCAAGGAAGAGGAGTCTCACACCCTCCTTTTCATCCACTGCCGCTTTGCTCAACAGGTTTGGAGCAAACACTTATGGGACTTCAACTACCAGTGGGTCACTCCCACAACCATTGAACTTCTATTCTCTACCTACTTCTTCCACCCTTTTCCTTAGCAGGAATTTTCTTCGGAGAGCATCCATCCAAGCCACTTTATGGTCTATTTGGAAGGAGCGAAACTCTGGTGTCCTCCACAAAGCTACAAGTAAGGAACAAAAACAGCAGAAAAAGTGAGATCACTCACCATCTTCTGGGCTTCTAGCTACAAAATCACTCAGAGGCTGCACAACACCTTACTTTGATAACAATTGGTTAGATATTTTGAAGTCTAACACCTCAAGCTTCTTTGCTCAAGCATATGGACACACCCCCCCCCCCCCCACACACACACACACACCAAAAAAAAAAAACCCAAAGCACCATCAAAGTCAACATAGACGGGTGCTCTTTGGGTAATCCGGGTCTGTGCAGAGCTGGAAGCATTTACAGAGATTCTAACAGCAATACTACTCTAACAGTCTCCATTCACATTGGGCACAGAGATTCCAATTGAGCAGAGGCCACCACCTTGCTCTAGGCACTCCAATGATTCGAACTTACTTGGGGAAACCAATTAAGAGTTGAGCCTGACTCTCAGAATGTCATCATATGGGCATCAAGATCTTCTGAACGTACTTGGGGACTGACCCACATTTTCGACCATGTCCATTTTCTTTGCAGGCCACTTCAAGTCGACTTTTGACATATCTGGAGGGAAAGGAACCGGGATGCTCATCTGCTAGCAAAACAAGGGGCACAGTCATACTCCACACCCAGACACAGAAATGAAGAATCTCCCCTCTTCCAATTCGCCCCATCTCTTCTCCTCTCTTATCTCTCTTCTAAGTATAAATTCTCACTAATCTCCCACCTCTGGTGCTAATCTATATCCTCTCTCTCCCTCAACTTTCACTCTCTCCTCTCTTTCTTGAAAATCATATTTCTATCTACAAACTCTTTTGTTCTGGCATTGCCTCCCAGAGGAACCACGAGAACAGAGAGATGGATTACGAACCTCCTTTAATATCTTTATGTGATTATCATATTTTTTCCTTCTAGAACTAGTTCTCTATAATTCTTCTCCACCATGTAGTCTGAGCACCCAGTTTGTGGGATGCCTTCTAACCACAATCTTATCTAGTGTAATCTTTTGTTTTTTATTTAACAAAGTTAACCAAGCTTTAAAAAAAAAAACATCTTTTTCTATAGGAGCACCGACTTGTGGGATGCCAGCACTAACATCTCATGAGATTTTGCAGATTTTATGGTAATATGAATATATATTGTGACTGTAAAAAATAAATAAGTAAATAGAGTAGAAAGAGAGAGAGGGAGATCACGCTCACCGATCAAGCAGCTTCTCAGCAGCTTCACTCTCTCTCGCCTGATACATGGCCTTCAAAACCAGATTATATGAAGCAGTATTCGGTGAAATCCCATAATCTTCCATTTGAGCGACGAGGTCGAGGAGCTCGCCAGCTGATCCCCCTATCATCAAGTTAGCCCTCAAATAATGGTTGTACAAGTTCACATCAGGTTTATTAGGCTTCCCATTTGTATCCAGAGACCTAATCCAAAACTCAAACAGTTGCTTGAGATCAGACCATCTCTGTGAAGTCATCCAATCTGCAAAGGCATTCAAAAGACTTGGAAGATCTAGGGTTTGAGAGAAAGCTTGGATCCTTGTAGACGGAGTCTGGTGAAGAAACCCTAATGGAACCAGGGACTGAGAGATTACGGTTTCTTGAATAGAGCCAGGGTTTCGCCAGTTTTCCTGGTATAAAGGGCTACCAGTTGAAGGGCTTGGCGGCAATGGCGATGAAGGTGGAGGAGCTTCTTGGAGCTGGGGCTCCTGGTTCAAGAAAGCAGTAATGGATATATTCCTGCGTGAAATGTTAGGGTTTGAGTTAAAATTTAAAGTTTTGCAGAGGAGATGGACTCTGCTCACAAGAGGTCTGGCCGCCATTGTTGAGCTTGCTCGTGCAGCTCACATAGAAAATTACGGGCATCAAATTAGGATTTTAATGAGATATTCCGGTTTCAGAAGATTGCACATAAGAATGGGAACTCAAATGAAATTGGATATAACAATACAGGGAAGAAGAGAGAGTAGAAATTAGGGTTTTTTGAGAAAGATCAAACAATATAGAGAGAGGGGAACGCAATGAGAGGTAAGAGCTCTAGATATGCTTTTACCCCAAAAAATAAAAAAAAACTCTAGATATGGGACATAAGGGAAATGGGGCTGGAAACTAAGTTTATTACTGAAACGACCCTGTAAATACTGGTTTGGATTTGGCCAAGTAATGCGAAGCCGAAATTTCGGCCCGAAAATTTGAAATTGATTTGTGGAGAGGTCCCGGCTTGATGGATATTGAGAAAAATTTATTTGCAATGACGCACACCATTCTTACAGATGGATCGATATTCGTGTAGTCGACTTCAATCAGTTGAAAAAAAACTTTGAGGTGATGATCAAGATAAAATTTTAGGATGCAGATTGTATATGGACGCATCCGTAGGTATAGAAGTAAGATGCACCTTCAAATTTTATCATGGAATATAATTTTGATGTAAAATGTTTTTAGGATTATCTCAAAATCTATTTTTATATCTAATTATAAAATTTTAAATTTAAAAAAATAGTTAAAATCAAGTAGATCTATAAACATATGAAAATCTTGAAAATGGACGGTGTAGATAATATGTTGTAAAATGTACTATTTTTTAGACTTAAAATCTTTTTATTTTTCATAGTCATGCATCTCGATGTTGATATGATCAATCAAATGGTTTTTCAACATTAAAACTACCTTTTCTGATGGATTTTTAGGGGCATCCATAGTTCTACATTATAAGGTAGCAGCATCCTTATATAAACTTTTTTCAATATTTTATATTGGGGCAAACAAATCCGAAAAATCGATCTAGAATTAGATGGGCAGAATGAGAGTTCAGTTTGGCGATCCGACCGAGTGAATAGGACCATAAATAATATATAAAATTAATAAAATGTTAAGAAAAAGATGGTGTATATCAAGCTTGCTCTTTAATAGAACTGGGCAGTTTATTGTGGGAACTTGTTCTTGATATTTGGTCTAAATCATACTCGTTCCATCAATTAACAATTTGAATAGGGCGATTCTAATACAAATCAAAGTTACTTGAAACCTTTGGCATAAGATTTGACCTAATTCTCTCTTTTTCTTTCTAAATTTTTGAATTGCAAATGTTACTAGAACAACAATTTGTTCATTAAATAAATTCTTCTTTGGGTGAAACAACCAATCTCTCTCTCCTTAATTTGGATGTTTTTCAAGGGTGAAGTTTGCATAAGGTGTCAACATTTTTTTTTTTCCAACGTTAAGAACGTTTATTTAATAATTGCTTACATATGAGGACCTATAGGATTTCAAAGGAGAAGATGAAAGAAATGCCAGATTTGGCGAGGCCATCAGCTGCATCATTAAGGCGCAACACAAAATCTCATTAAAATGTGTCTTTTTGGTGTCAAAACTCATGGGCTAAAAGTCTATTTTTCACCTCTATAATGAAATTGCAAGCTTAAAAAATAGTGCAAATTTAGCATATCTTGAAAATGGACGGTCTTGATAATGTGTTACAAGATGTATTACTTTTAAGACTTAAAATTCATTTTTTCTTTATACCCATATATATCGAGGTCAAGATGATCAATTGGAGAAATTTCTAGTGTCGAAACAACCTTTTTTTTTATCGAATTTTTGGGTGCACCTTACTGGTACAATATGAAGTTTACACCTTACATAAAATTTTTCCTTTTTTCAATAAAAGGGTGTGATTTGTATAAAGTTGCAACTTCAAATAATCCAATTAAGACGCACCTTCAAATTTTATCATAACAGGCAATTTTTGTTCAAACAATTCTTCGGATTATCTGAAAATCTATTTTCATTTCTAATTATAAAATTTAAAACTCCAAAAATGGTTAAAATCAAATGGATCTATAAATATATAAAAATCTTGAAAATGGATGGTCTAGATAATGTGTTGCAAGATGCACTATTTATGGGACTCAAAATATTTTATTTTCTTTTCTTTTTTCATAATCATACAGCTCGATGCCAGGATGATCAATTAGACAGTTTTTCAACATTAAAACAATTTTTCCGATAGTTTTTTAAGTGCATCTTTAATTCTACATTTTATGGTTGCAACCTTATACAATCCATTGAAGGCGCAACTCCAAATTTTATCATAGCATATAATTTTGATGTAAAAAAATTCTTAAGATTATCTCAAATCTATTTTCATATCCAATTATAAAATTTTGAACTTAAAAAATGATTAAAATCAATTAGATCTATAAACATATGAACATCTTGAAAATGAATGGTCTAGATAATGTGTTGTAAGATGCATCATTTTCTAGGACTCAGAATCTTTTATTTTTTCATAGTCATATATCTCGACGTCAAGATGATCAATTAGAGAGTTTTTAAATATTAAAACAACCTTTTCCAATGGATTTTTGAGGTGCATCCTTAGTTATACATTTTGCTTTTGTCATTTGCTTACATTTTGCTTTTGTTGAGGTAATAAAAAAAGGAAAATAGGTTAGAAAAAGTATTGGGTAGAAATGACTTATAGCCTCCGTGATCTGGATGGCAAGGTGCCCAGGCATGAGAGCTACTTAAGTGTTCTGGATTGCAATGTGCCCAAGCATGAGGGCTCCCTAAGTTAATTGCAACTAATGTACCTAAGCTAACATTAAATATATTAAGGAATTGTTTAAGACCATTTATCATTTATATATATGGAAATAATAATCGTTATTGTTTCTTAAATTTCAAAATGGGTGATTGTAAGAGTGTTATTGAATAGATACAAAGTTTAAAAAAAATTCCTAACTCATCTCACCCCAAGCCAACCAATGTGATATCTAATGAGTGGGAATAATTGTGACATCTATATACAAAATATTAAGAAAAATGTTTATATAAGGTGTCAAGCTTATAATGTACAAATAAGGCGCACCCAAAAAATCCACCGGAGAAGGTTTTTCCTATGTTGTATAACTTTCAAATCGATCATGTCGACCTCAGAATTCATAGATATATGACAAAAAAAAAAGAAGAAGAAGAAGAAATGGATTTTTAATCAAGAAATGGATTTTTAATCATTAAAAAAGTTATCCTAACACATTATTTGAACCATCCATTTTTTAAATTTTCAAGTATTCATAGATCTACTAGACCGACACCGTTTCTAGAATTTTAAATTTCATAATTGGGGGCAACAATAAATTTTCATATCATCAAAAGATCTTACAACACCAAAATTGTATTTTCAACATAATTTTGAGGTGCACCTTACTTCAATAGTATAAGGTTGACACCTTATACAAACCTCACTCAAAGATAAATGGTCTTTGTAGATAATTTCATATACTAAATATAGCATGAAGTTTCTATAAGGCGTAGTAGACTTTATGAAAACAAAATAAAAGCTCACCTCAAATCCTTGTCTGGAAAGCACTTTTGGCAACATAAATCTCCATGGCTTTAAAATCAATTTCCAACACTAACGATAAAATTTGAAACTCAAAAGATGTACATATCTTATGAATCATTTTTATTGCTAAATAGAAAATTTAGATAATTTGTTACAAAAAAACATTATTTTTAGAGCTTTAAATTCTATATTTTTTTACAACGATAATGTTCAAGCCAAGATGTTCAATCTATAAGTTTTCCAATACTTGAATTATAAATTTCAATGAGTTATGAGCTAAGGCTTAACTTTGATAACTTTGAAGCCCTATATAAAATTATACAAAAAGTCAGTTTATTTTTATTTATAAAGAGGAAATATATCCACAAATATATGCATTATTACCTGGACCCAATCTATATGCAATCAAGCCCACATATGTAGAAATGCGAGCCCATTAATAAATCTATTTTTCAGATGGACTTTTGGACTTAATTTTTTAACGCATGTAATCTCTAACATAGAGATCATGTATATAAAAAAATAAAATAAAATTTAAAAACTAGAAATAATAATTTTAAGAAGAAAACATTTAGATTGTTAGTTTCCATTATTTTTAGATGGAACACGTACTTGCATCCATTGATGCTTTAACACTTTTTGGACCACATATGTAGTCCTACGGTCCAGCCCGCATGAAACAGTTTTCCATCTAACATTGCACCGTGTATCTAACCATTTTTTGGAATATAAATATAACATTTCGAAAAGAGATTGTCTACAAAAAGACTATTTATCTTTTGCACATGAAAGTCACAATCATTCGTACTAATTAGATGTCAAATATGATAGCTTGGGGTGGACGAAAAAGTCCAAAATTTTTTTTTTTGAAATTTTATGCCTATTCTTGCAACCACCCGTTTTAAACTACTCATACAACCAACCACCGGACGTACAGGACAATCGCTTTCAGAGGAGTCCAGATACCAATATTAGTAACCATCAAAGAAGGATGAATGGCCATCCCTGATGCGTCAGTTTCTGAAATCAGATGGTTGGACAGGTGGTAGAATATTGTAGGAAATACAAATGACGGGCATGATATTAAAACCCACAAGTAAACCATCACTTACAGAGTTAGAGGAGACAATCGACGAATATCACTTAAAGGATCGCTAACACAAATTAAAGCTTACCAAGCATATCATCTCTCTCTCTCCAACCCCTCCCTCCCCCCAATAGCACTGGCAATGGGCTGGCCCTGGGCCAGCCTTATTCCCGCCAGGGACAGCCCAGGCCCAATTAGGGCCAAGCTGGCCAAGGCCACACCAATT